CTCTGAGTACTGGGCTAAACACACAAGATTTGGCCAAACATGTGGCTGAGATGAAATCTTGCAATGCTCCTGAATTTCATCCATTAGTACCTCAAGGTCATGGCAATTTCTACTTAACTGACACCAAAAACAACTAGGATTCTCAACATATGACAAAATAACATTAACTGTACTTCCCACTTCTAAGTGGCCTCCACAAGAGGAGCCTGGCTTAATTTCCACATAGTTCTGTCTCAGAGAGGTGTGCAGATTTTGCTTACCTTCATAGTCTTGAGAAGTAAGAGATTCGCTACTTTTAGAATTGAGAATGGCTGCAACAGGGCTCTCTCTGACCATCACACCCACGTGAGAATCAAGTATTCTATCACTGCTCTTTAGACCACATTCTTCTCTGAGCCTCTTCTCTGCATTTATTTGGCTTTCCTCTGCAGCACACACTAGTGAAGAGGCCTTTGTCATAGACTTATCTGATTTCTGGAAAGTCTTGGGTATTTCATACCTCTGGTATTTAGCATAACCCCCCTGGGCCATGAGTTTACTTACTCTTCCCTCTCCTAACTGCAACCGGTCAAAAATTTCAACCATGTATTTGTCACCCTGCACATTCAAAAACCAAACCTTCAGTTCCTTGTTCAGTACCATCTCCCTGAATGCAAACACAGAAGCTTCACTCCAACTCCCTCCTGGAGGGGAGACACCTGCCAAACAACACTTCAGAGCTAAAGCAGGCAGTTTCCTGAATCGAGGGAGCAGCTCCTTCACAGCAAACAGATCCACAGTTTCTGTACTGCCTTTGTCCAGCAGATGTATTTCCACACCAGTGTCCAGAACCCTAGTGACCACCGCTCGATAAAAGCCGCCCTCGTTCCCACTGGCACAACAAAGGGATCCAGGCTGTGGGTCCCACCCAGCACCATCCAGCTTTGTGGAATGGGAATAAAAGTTCCACATACACTGCCTCAGCTGACTGAAGAGCTGGTAATACCCACGGAGCTGCAGCCAGAACTCAGATGGGTCTCGGAGGTGGGAGACCCGTGCACTGTACAACGTCCACGTCTTCAGATACACACCAGCTACAGCAGTAGAAGCCAAATCTCCATGTGTTATAACAGGAGGTGCTTCTGGCGGCAGTTCCAATTCTGCAGCTAAGGATTCCTCTACTTCCAGCTGCTCATGAGCCTCAGTTTGGCTCACATGACTGCTGACCAGGCAGCAAGCCTGAGACCCAAAAAGATGGTTCAAATCGACACCATTTTCCCCATAGAGGGTCACATAATAGAGATGCTCAAAGGAGTTAAAGGCTTTGATGTGAGCACTCACTCCTCTGCCGAGCACCAATGCTTTCAGCAAATTGACCTGAAACGAGGACCAGCCACAACCCCCATCCGAAACACCCTGAAGAGCACACATGTAAGTGACCACAGGCATGCGAAAACACTCGGCAGGCAAATGGCGCAGGTTAGCTCTGGTCACAGTCTCCTTCTTGCCATAATCCACAAAGAGCACGAGAGCTGCATGCTGGTCCTGCTCCCCAGCAATGAGCTCCAGCAGAATGGCACGGTACCACTGGCCATCCATCCCACGGGCAGCACAGGGTGAGCCCACTTTGGGTAGTAAGTCCTGCTCCCACCGGTCATAAGCACAGCACATGGTATCAGAAAGGCAAGAGATCTCCTGTGACAGGCACTGCAACTGGCAGTAAACGTGGTGTGGGTCAGAGACGTGGGTCACTAGGACAGGCTCTGTCACACCCAACTGAAGCTGAGGGTAGTAGTAATCCAAGGCAGGTGACAGAGGCCGGTATGAGAGCAACATTTGGACAAGCTGCGGAACCTCAAAAGCTCCAAGGTAACACTCTGGAGGCTGCTGACAGAGCTGCTTCTTTAACTGGCCAAAAGGCAGGCAGCGCCTGAGCACCTCGCAGAACCAGCTGGGAGAGACGCGTTTGGCCAGGCCCAGCTGCCACATCTGAGCCACGAGCTGGGGCAGCTCAAGCACGATGAGCTGCGGCGTTATCACCTCTTGCACCACACCAGACACCTCCTTGCCTTGCAGGAAGCTAAGGAATTCCATTGCCTCCACAGTCCACTTGGACACCGGTGAATCCCCACTTGCTGTCCCCTCCTGACAGTGGGAGGGCATGACATCGGCCACGACACAGCCCACCACCTCTGGGGGCAGCTGGAACAGCTCTGAGCAGCCCCGTGCCAGGTAATAGGCGGATGCAGTCACCATGTACCCCTCGTCCAGCAGGAAGACACGGTACCCCTGGGCACTACAGCTCACCACGCAGCAGCGGTACCACACGCCCAACAGCTCCACCAGCGCCAGCTCTCTTGGGCACAGCCTGGTCCCGCCGGCCTCCGGCCCGCTGGGGTCTGGGCGGGCCGCCAGGCGCGGCCCCGCCGCCGCCTGGATCTCGCGGTAGAGGACGGCATAGTCAGCCTTACGTTCACCTAGCAGTCCCCACAGCCGCAGGATGGGCACCTCGGGGTACAGTCCCACGCCGCGGACCCGCAGAGTGACGGTATCGCCGCGGCCGAGGGACCCCGACCCGGAGCTCATCGTGAAGCCACCTGACACCTCCCACCCCGCTCCCTGCACGAGGCGAATGAACGCCCCACCCTCCCCTCCTCGGCCTCATATAGAGCACGCGCTGCCACGTGACCCACGGGGAGCCGTTAGCGGCTGCCCCAGTGGCCGAATCCATTACGATCCTCTCGGTGGGGTGGAGAGCGACACGAAAGGAAAGGGGAAAAAGGAGAGGTGAAGCGAGCTGATACATGGGGCCGCTCCTGCTACGCTAACACTGGGTGGAGGCGCCACGAAGAAGAGAATCATGGAATTATGGCCGGGCCCCGCGGGGCTCAGGACAGAGCCCGGCAGAGCTACCCTCGCCCACGGTGGAGGGCTCCACACAGGATGGGTCCCGGCGGGACGGCGGAGTGAGGGGAAGAGAGCGCCGCGCCCGCTTAGCTCCCATTGGTCAGAGCAGCGCCGGGGGCGGGACATGCATGCGGAGCTTGGCGACTATTGGGCGGCCGCGGCGTGAGGGCGGCGGCCGCGGCGTGAGGGCGGCGGCCGCGGCGTGAGGGCGGCGGCCGCGGCGTGAGGGCGGCGGCCGCGGCGTGAGGGCGGCGGCCTCGCACTAGACGCCCGTCAGGAATCGCTAATCATTCACACCCAAAGAGGGAGATAAGACTTAAAGTTTTCAATACAAGATTTTTACAAGGTTTTTTTTTTTTATTATCTTTATTTTGAGCTGTGCCTCAAGGGTCGTATTGGGGCCAGTGTTTTTTACTATCTTCATTAATTGCATAGGTGAAGGGTTGGAGTGCACCCTCGGCAAGTTGCAAGTGACACCAAGCTCAGTGATGCTGTTGTTATCCTCTGAAATCATTAGGATAAATAAGACCCTCTAACGCTGTCTTTTTAGTGTTAGCGAGTCAGGCATTACTTTACTCTTGGCCAGGAGGGGGTTTTGTGGGTGACAAAATCCTGGCCCCTACACAGATGCAGATACCGAACTTTAACATTTATTTACAGATGTATTTTTAACAAACAAATTAATATTCGCTGATTCTAAATTACAGCCCTCTTTCATTAATTAGTATTCTGTCTTCTATTGGATATTGACTTCTCACTTCTCATGCAAATTAGTCTGTATTTTTCAGTCCTTTTATGATCTTTTTCCCAGGTAGGGACTTTCCAGCACACATTCTGAGTCTTTGTTAGTCTCTTTTTTGTCTGCTGTTTTCTGCAAAATGACCTTGTGGTCCATAAATTGTATACTCCTTGTATCCAGTTTCAACAATAGAGCTCTCTTCTTTCAGGCTTTGTTAATTGAAGTGTATCAAGGTTAAAATTTCAGTGATTTTCCCGAGCTGTGTGCCCATAAAACTAGCTTATGACAGCTTTGATAAATACAGGCTAAAACACTGCTTATAATTAATACACTGGTTATGATGATCAGAGAGGTTGAGCAATTGTCCTTCGTGGATAAGGCTTAGAGAGTTGGGATTGTTCAGCCTGGAGAAGAGAAGCTTCAGGGTGACCTAATTGTGGCCTTCTAGTACCTGAAGAGAGCTGACAAGAAAGATGGAGAGGGACTTTTTACAGGAGCCTTGACTGACAGGATAAGGGAGAATGGCTTCAAACTGAAAGAGAGCAGGTTTAGATTGGATATTGGGAAGAAATTCTTTACTGTGAGGGTGGTGAGACATAGGAACAGGCTGCCACGAGAAGCTGTGGATTCCCAATCCCTGGCAGTGTCCAAGGCCAGGCTGGATGGAGCTTGGAGCAACCTGGGATAGTGGAAGGTGTCCCTGCCCGTGGCAGGGGGTTGGAAATGATCTTTGAGGTTCCTTTCAACCCAAACCCTTCTATGATTGTATGATAAAAGTTCTTATTCTGTCTCACGAGAAAGGTTAAGCTGTGTATCCATCACCAGGTTATTGGGGTAATGGGATGGCAGGCAGGAGTGCTTGGGATGTAACTGAAGCAGCAGCTTTGCTGGTGCTGGAGTACAAGATGGAAAGAACTTGGGATTAGTTTCTCAGGATGACAGCTAGAAATATACCAGGATTTCTGAACAAAATCTTTGGACTGATGCACAGGAGTTTCTACTTGCATGTGAGGAAAAACTTTACTGTGCAGTGACCGAGGCCTGGAATGGATTGTCCAGAGAGGCTGTGGAGTCTCCCTCCCTGGAGATATTCCAGAACTATCTGTGAAATCTTGTGCCCTGTGCTCTGGATTGACCCTGCTTGAGCAGGGAGGTGGGACCAGATGAGCCACTGATGGTCCCTTCCAACCTTCCAATCCATTCTGTGATTCTGTGACTCCTTAATAATGGTGAGATGAATTTTTTCCAAGCTGGAAGCACGCCCCCAAATTCATACAGCCACAACTGAACTACAATACAATCAGAAAGTACAAATGCAAGCCAAGAAAACACCCAGACTGTGTTCAATGAGAAAACGGCACATTGGAGACATTGGTTGCAAAGACTAGAAGAAATCCTGGAATAAGAAATTTATTCAAAGAGCCAAATTTTCTACATTAATTCAATTACTAGATATTATTAAATCAAAGCCAGCTTTGTTTTATCTACTCATGGCTGCTTTTAATACTGCATTTTTAACTCTTGATTGCCAAAGGTGAATCTACTGACAAACAGCACCAGTCTCAGTCTGTATGAAATCTAGAAGGGTTTAGGTTTAAAAATAAATAAATCACTCCTGTTCAAACATTTTGCATTATTGAAGATAACATTGTATTTCCATCGAGATTTAAAATGGGTAGAGTGCACATTTCCATGGAAAATGACCCACATCAGCACCAGGATTGTCACGGGACAAGTAGTTCAGCTTGGTCCTGTGGAGTATCATCAGTCCTTCAAGCATTGCAGAGCAAACTAGGCTTTTGATTTTCTGGGAACAGGACTGCATTTCAATAATGATCTTACTCAAATAGTTGAGTGGAGAGGTCAGGCAGTCTCTGGGAAGGAAGAGGAACACAAACCCTTCCACTTCTTGTGCAAAGCCGATTTGGAATCAGGTAAACTGCTTTTATTTTTTTCAATACCTAGCACTACAGGTTTGGTTTACTGACACATCAAACTAACAAGAGGTAGTTCTTTATCTGTGTGCAAATGCAATTAACAACAAAAATTCCCAAATAATTTTATAGATGCTGTCACGATCTGCTATTAATACAGAGCGGGGGTTGTGATGGTTCGTTTGATCTCAGAGGTGCGAACAGGCAAATAGCAGGGGACAAAATCAGTTTATTCAACAACAGCAATGCATTTTTATCAAATGCCAACAACTCAGTTGTGATAGAGGGGAGAGATATAGGAAGCAAAGTATAGAGAGAAAAAGAGGGGAATGGGAAAATAGCTACCAACGAGATGAGACAGATGTCCTCATGGGCCAGCCAATAGACAAGTCTTCATCCGTGGGGAGATCTCAAGGGTCTTCTCCAGAGGGTCGCTCTTTTATAGTTCTTCTCCAAAGCAAGGGGCCTCTGGCCAAAAAGTGGGAAGATTTATGGACCATTGTGTGGTGCTGCGGGAGACAGGTGCGGTCGTGCAGTACATGCAGTCTCCAGTTGGTACAACACGATCTCTGGTTGGTGCCACAACAGCACAGTCCAGTGAACACAATACACCAGCACACAGTCACTTGACAAGCATCCATCTTGGCCAGGCCAGGAAACCATTGTTTGGAGTCAGCCTGGGTGGGGGTCCTCGAGGTCTCCTTGTGATGGTCGAGAGGCAAAAAACGAGGGAAACTTCAGACCGACCCTTACAGATGCTTAGCCACAGAACTTGTTCAGTGCATTGATCAACCTGCTCTTGTCTTTAAGGACAGAAACCATCTCCATTATCAAACAAATGGACAGTATTATGTTCTATTTGCTTGGTAGAATTTTTTTTAATTCCTGTTTGCTGGTTCATAAAGCTGATGCTGGCTGCTAGCTGAAGTATTATTGTGACAATTTTATCCTGTGGATAATATAAATTTCACGTAGTAGTCTGACAATCACACAGTATCCTTAAGTCATGGCTTTTACCAACCAGTAAGGACTGGACTTGGAGCAACAAGCTATATATATGATCCTACTACCTTGTGGAATGAGAATTTTGCTTTTTGACTCTTCTCTCTTATGTGAATATCGAAGGTTTTAAAAAGAAGTAACTCCACACATCTTTCTGATTTGTTCATATGTCAGCCAGAATACCAGTGACCAAGGTGCCTGTGAAAGCAAACATGGAAGTTAGAGGCTTAAAACAAAATTAACCCAATAAATAAGCCCATTAGTTTAAACTGTCTCTTCTTAAAATCACACTCTTAAGTTCAGTCTTATATTGCTGTGGTTCCCAGAGAGGTTCCCAAGCCTCTGTCTGCTCAGAGAGGCTGTGAACTCCCCATCCCTGCAAGTGTTCAAGGCCAGGTTGGACAGGGCTCTGAGCAACTGGAAGGTGTCCCTGCCCACGGCAGAAGGTTTGGAACGAGCTGATCTTTAAAGTCCCTAGCATTCTATAGTCCTATGATGATGTATTTAATACAAAAGTTGTAATATTACATAGGGTTAGTGCTGCATCCACACTCCTCACATTTTAATGCTAATTGTTCTTGTAACAAGAGCTAAAAAGCACGTACCATTCGCATCCAGGTTGGTATAAAGCCTTTGTACAGAGACATAAACCCTTCACCCTGGACAGTTTGAATCAAGCAGTCCATAGAAGATTTATAGAGCAGACCTCTAGCAATGTGCAAGGAGAACAAACAGTGTTAGGATTACAAATATACAATTTAAAAAACCTATCCCCCTCATAAAAATAATTTGTAGCTGATATTTTTCTGTAAGCCAAAGCGCTTTTGTAAGCTCCTTGGAGTCTAATCCAGAACTGAAGTCCACTGGTTATGCTTAGGTGGCCACCACAACACCCCCCAGACATTTACTAAATCAGTAAAATCGTCACTAGAAAGATGAAGAGCAAATTATCAACTTAGCACTTCACTCCCAGTGGAATCAGTGACACCCATGGTTTCAATGTGCTGCTGAAAAGTTGGTCTCTGAAGTGTCCATACCTTCCCTGCTTATCTCTTGGCTGGTTCATTATCCGGGTTTTGACCACATCAGCTGGAGTTCCCAGAACAGCTGCTACCAGCCCAGAGCAGACACTGCCAACAGCAACAGATACTTAAGGAAGAAACCAAGCCGTATCATAAAAATTTCAGCATCGTGATTCCAGTTCTTATAATCAGGATATATTAAAGCCATTATCATCAAATCATGAGTAATAATTCATAACATAAACTTGGTTTAGGAGGCTTGCTAGTACTGCTCTTGCTCATATGCCCTCCCAGTGCCAGCTGCCCTCACCTCTGTGTGCAGTTCTGAGTCAGGGATGAAGGACCCACAGCAGGCAATTCATAATATTGTTTACATAAAGTAGATCTTTTCATCACTTAAGAGAGTAAAAGAGGATGTTCTGCAGAAGTTGTATCACTGCGCTCCCACAGATTAGAGCAAATGTATTTAAATGCGCTGACTAGGTACTTCTAGTGAGGGTAATTTTGTAGCAATGGTTGCCTCCTTTCTCTTGTGTCTTGCATAAAGTGATGTTCTCTCAGGAAAAAGATAATTCTAAAGTTGCATTTCATCAGCAATATCAAAATCAAAGAATGGGGTCTTCTGCTAGCACAGAGAGGCAGATGAAGACAGCAAGGCTGGAAAGGCTCCAAAGTGGAAAAGGGGTAATTGGAGAATACGGCACCTGCTAACACTGTGAGTCACACTATTGTCCACAAGTGTCGTGTTCAGAAGCAAAAAGTGTTTCACTGAGTCATAAGTGGTCAGATCTGTAAAGAGGATAATGAGAAAAAACAGCACTGTCAGGAGTGAATGGAGTCTGTGCTGTTCACAGCACAGGATGTTCATTTCCATTGCAGCTCCTGCCTTTGGCACTCTGCCCCCAGTTTCTAATGAGGGCTGTGATACATGAGTCCTGCCTATAGACATGTGAGTACATTCTCCTTTCTGCTCCCATCTGCTCTGATTTACCTGACAGATGATGCTGAGCTGTATCTGGGTGACCCTCACCAGCCCTGTTCTGGCTCAGCTTCCTGACTTGGCCTTAGACCTCCTGCCTCATCACCACACACTTCCCTATGGATCTGGGTCTTGGTGAAGCCTGGCTGCCTTTGCTGGCTCTGCCCTGCTCACCTCACTTGGGCATTGGGTTGTGGCTGGTGAGGTCCTTGCTTTGCTGGCTGTGGGACCCTTCAGCTCCTGGCTTACTTTTCCTTAAACTCAGGTAAAAACTGTTACTTTTAAGCCATTTGATTTCCACAGGACCAAAACACAGGTGCACAAGGCAGAGGTCACCTGCAGGGTGCTCCAAACAGTGCTCCAGTGTATGCAATCACAACGCTTAAGACAAAGGAGCAGCTGAACTCCTCTTTCTTAAAGCTTTGGTGAGGCCTCAAGTGCTGCAGGCCAAGTTATTCCATTTACCTCCCATATTCACCAGAGCAGCTCTCTGGACATTTGGTACCCATCCAGCCCAAAGTCCCCTTACTCCTCCTTCAGCCAGGATCTTCAGAAATGCATGATGCACGCCCCGAAACCTGAAATCAAGATGCAACTTGTGGGTAGACAGCCTAATGAAATCTTTGCTTGTTTCAGTACTTTGCTGCATCGGATCCTCATGTAAGATTAGGAATTTATACCTGCAAGGATCAGGCCCTCCAGATGCATTTTTGGATCTGTCTCTGACTTTCATGCCACAATATTTTACCAGAGATACCGGTTGCCTTGCAAAGCAGTGATCTGGTCCCTAAGAGCAGACAAGCCTTAGATCTCACACAGGGTTGCAATTCTAAATGCACATGACACCAAATAATGGCAGCAGTTTGGGATGCAAAGAGCAGCATATCCTGGTATTTGCAGGAGAGTCTCAAGCCCTGCTGTGTGCCAGCCTTCCCTGTGCCTGCGCATCCTGCATGAGCCATTTCCATCGTGCTTTCTTCCATCTTCAGAAAGCATCCTTCCCTCCCCATGGTACAGTGGTGGCACGGATGTGCTGCAGCACAGAGGACGGATTTGTGGTCCCTGGGACCAACAAATCACAATAAAGAATATGACTATAAATGGAATGAGGAGGTCTTGAATCCCCTCCCCTTCACTGCACAGAAACATTGGGTGCTCTCCCTATAAAAGGGCACAGAGCAGCTGGGGAGAAGGGGTGACAGGAAACAGAGAACCACACACTGGGCCAAAGAGGGATCAGTAACAGGGAAAAAGCCACCAGCTCTGAGAGGGACCAACCGTAACGGTTTTCCTTCCAACTTCCTTTTCCCCTCCATCTGCATCTGCACCTTCACCAGATCAGTTGGACTGGCAAAAAACTGTCCGATGGCACCTGCAGTCATGCCTCCAACCACAGCTTTCCTGTCAAATGGAGAAAAATTGTGCTCCAGAATACTCTGAAAATCTTCACAAGTCACAGTGCTCGAGCTGAACAGTTCAGCAGCACAATCCAGGTGAACAAATGTCAATGGTTATTCCATATATTAACAAAGTGAAGCTAATAATGTGGTGGCTACAGGTTATTAAAGTAGCCAGTAATATTTCTGTAAATTTTCAAAAAGGGTTAAAACTTACCTTGGGAAAAAACCAACAAGGTTACATTATGCTCTTTGCTTAAGGTTTAAAACCGGATGGCAAAGTACACAAGTAAAGGATGATGCTCCATGTATTATAAATGAATGCCCACCTGAAATTCCAAACTGTTTGCTGATATATAAAACTTTTCTTTCTCTCCCACTGCTACTAGATGAGTTGTGTAAATTTTATGGGTCTATTTATTTTAGTAAAATCAGAAATTTCGGTATTACTCATAGGTCCCCCTTCCTGTAGCATTGGGCATGACAAGTACTTTGTAGTAGATTTTATCAATCCCATTCTAAAACCAGATACATTTTGGACCTAAAATATGTCTGTAGGACTCCTACAGTAAGGACAATCCCCAAGCAAGCAATAAATATGCATGAATATGCAACATTACCAGAGAGGAAAGCTTTCACCCTCCGCCCTGCCAAGCACAGAGTCACGGAGATGTTCATAAGTAACCATCCGAACACCAGTGTATACTGTGGGAAACAAAAGCAGGAGACACTTCTTGGGTCTGCCCTTTCTGGAGCTCACACTGAGAGAGAGATCAAGACCTTGGTTTATGACACTCCAGAGCTAGCCTGGCTCAGCTGGTCATTGTTCTCATGTTTGTGATCAGAATGGGGAAAGTGAGGGGTTTGCCTGGTGTCACTGGGAGAGCCAGGGCGTTTTAGCATCTAGAAAGGGAGATTTAGAAATCTCTCTGACTGAGCTACAGGTCTGCCAGGAGGCAGCACAGCTTTGCCTGCACCCTAAGGGGATGGGATTGCATCGCCTCCTTCTGGGCTGATGCCAAGCACAAAACCCCCACAAGTACTTTTGAGGTTTGTTGCTGTCACCCTATTTCCAAGTAAAGCACAGAAAGCTGTTATTTGTGGTCAAACCTCTAATGTGTTTCTTTTAAACACTTGTATTTTTCCCTTGTGCTTGCAACCTCATCTTTTTTCCTATCATTTTTTTCTTAATCTGTCGCCACTTCCTTCACATATGAGACATTTGTTGTTCTGAGAACTCTGAGTGTCTGGACTTCCTGAACAAGATCTTCCTGCAAAGATGACCGAGAACTTATATTGTGTTTTTCCAGAAGCCAGAATAAGGCCATGAAGGACTGGGAAAAGGAAGAAAGAGACGCTATTGATATGGAATCTCGTATATTCAAAGTGGGATTACAGGCTAGACTGAAAAATCCTCACAAATATGTTTAAAGTACAAGAAATTATGGCAAGTTCGCTCCAAAAGGCTTGGCCACGGAAGGCAGGGCTCATCGTGTCCCATCACGAACAGATATTCACCTATGTGGCGGTAGACGGCCGGCGTGGCTCCTTGCCAGAGCTTCCGCACCCCTTCCTCCTGCGCGATTCCCACCGCCGTGCGCAGCATCCCGCGGTACGGCACCGCCTGCCCGGCCGCTGCTCCATCGCGCCGCACCGCAGCTTCACCTTGGATCTGCAGCCGGGTTTTCGTCAGATCCAGGGGAAACGTCACTGAGGGCAAAGGGCCGGGAACACACGTGAATACCAGTGCGGCTGCGGGGCACCACAACGCCCTGCCAGCGCCCAAGGGGCTGGGAAGGCACCGGCAGGGAGCAAAAGCTCTGCCTAACAGGGTCCAGGAGATCCCTGGAGAAAAGAAGAATTCTCGTCCAGGTCTGTTAAAAATGGCTCTAGGCACAAGTAACTAAATGACATTCCTGTTGAACACCCAGTCTTTCACCCATATTTAGTTATGCAAATTTCTTATGCAATATGAGTACCTTCTGAGGGACTCGGGATTAAAAATCCTGTTCCAGTTACTCCCCCTGAATACAGACCAGTCACAAATCTCAATCGATCATGTAGTGTCTCCAATTCTGTCCAGCACAGTGGCAGTACAAGTTATGGTAAGGAACAACCCCACAGAGGCCATCATAGTACAGACACACATTCTGGCTCACCTGCAAACTTACCTACATATCTGTCCTACAAACCATCCTAAAGCATGCTTGCTTTCTTTATACAAGGAGCAGGGCTTGTCTTTGTTTCAATACCTCTGTGACACACCAGGGTCCTTCCAAAGCAGGACTCAGGTGCCAGGGGAAGGCAGTCACTGCCCAAAGCCTCAGCAGGTTTATAGTCCATTTGTGCATTAAGTTTGGTATTCATGTTTAAAGATTAGCAAAGATTAAGAAGTTACAAATCCTTAGAGCAATGTAACTGACTTGCCTGTAAGAGCCTGTAGAAATTATAAAGAACATGCTGAAAAGTATTCAAAGTAAGTTATTTGGGCACAAAGCAGTGCTACATAGATGCTAGTGTGCTTCTATTCCATGTTTCAGCAAGCAGTTTTCCAGCTCCATTTTTATAGGTATCTCCGCTGTCACCAAAACTTAAATCGATTTTTATTTGATTAACCTTCATTAACTATGAAAAGGAAATTCATGAAGGAATAAGGCCTTGCTAGTAACTTAGGCAACCGATTTGCCTGCCTCTTTAGTCTTTTTCTGGAAACCCAGCCAGTACAAAGCTTAAATTAGTCACAACTGCACTGAGTTAATGACTGCAGCCCTTCGGTCCCGGAGGCAAAGATTTCGTCCTGAAAATCCCTCCCTCCAGCCATTGACAGGTGGCATAAAACACTTACAAGGTTTAGATTATGGAAAAGCCACGACTAGCACAGTGAAATGCAGATTTGCTGGAGCGGAACACTGAGGAATGAGGCATCCGGGGACTGATGTTCCCACTGCCCCCTGTAAGTAAATTTGACCCCCTTCCCTCTCGGAAAGCCACGGTGAGTACCTAGTTCTGCCACAGCCGCTGCACAGGCTGACAGAGCGAATTTGCTGGCTCGGGGCCATCTCTCTGGAAGAGGTAAGCTCCTCTCGTCTTCTGCAGGTGACATCTAGCATCTCTCATGAACCGAGGCTAACCAGCCACCCTGCCCGGCTGTGTCCGCAGCAAGAACGGGCCCTAGCTCAGATCAGCCCGAGGTGGTTTAAGAGACAAGCTGCTGAAGGTCATGTTCCTCCAGCGCCAGCACCGGGAACTGCAGCAGTTCGAGAGCTGGCAGGTCCTTCTGCAGTGACACCAGAGACTCCGGCGCAACAGGCTCCTGGGAAATGTAGTCTGTCACCGAGGCTGCTCTGTGCCCGGACACCGGCACTGCAGGTACGGACACACGCACGGGCTTGTCCATTATCTTTATTAAATGAGTAATCATTAATGAGAGCTCGAGATTACGCGTGGGGTCTCTTTGCTTTGCGGGGTTCTGTCATTGGCAGCACCGCCTGGGGAGCCCCAAACTCTGTTCCCGTGTCAAGCAGTTGCGTCCAGGAGGGATGAATTGATCCAGATCTGGTTTAGTAAGAGCTGCATTAGCAACAGCTACGTGCCGAGCTGGGGCTGCGGATTAGGCATGCAGCACTGCAGTTTGAACACGGATCTCGGCAAGCCTGGCATGGCAGAAACTGATCGCTTCTCAGAGCCCTTAAAAAAGGGCTAAAAAAGTTTAAAGCTCTTCCTGGTTGAATGCTGACTGTCGTGTGCCGGTCCTAATTTCTTTTAAAGTATTGTAGATCTATTTAGGTTCTCATAATTTAAAAAAAAAAAAAAGTAAGGTATGGACTGTTCAAGAGAAGCTTTTCATTTATCATTAAGGCTCAACTGAATCCCTAAGTTAATCATTAGCCATTAGTCAGTAATCCTCGTACTGATTTGAGGATTTTTTTGGTCACAGAAGCTTATCCCCAAACACCTCCCCACATCTCTGACTGCCTAAAGCTTTGGTGTGTGGTCCCTGTCAAAATAATTCAAACACATTAATAGAGCATTGCAGGTGAAATATTCAGTTGAAGTTGGATGAATCTGTTTCATTGGTCACCAGTAACTGGTATTAAATTGGATCCTTCTTGGGGTTAAAATTCATTAGAATTCATGCAGGGATAAAACAAACTCCTGACAAAGCCATGGTTAAAAATGGGGAGAGGGCATATTACAATTTAATGCAAATGTGCCTGGCTGCACGGAAGGTGTAAGTGGTTCAGAGCCTGTTTCTGGACAGTTCATGCAATCTGCTGTGGCACTTTGTGCCTCCCTCCACAGCTGTTCTGTGGGCTTGGGTCAGCCACACTGTGTATCGACTGATGGATTGTAATGTGGGGTAGAGAGGACCTCCAGAGTTCACCTGCAGATATCCTACAGTCCTCTGTCACAGCAGGGAGAGCTTCCAAGTTACATCAGGTTTGTTTGATCCCCTGAAAACCTCCCAGGATGAGGGTTTCACAACCATCCTTTAGCTCTACACTTCTTGGTACAGTCTCATTCTGTTTTCTCTATGATCATGCTTTAAGGAGTGGAAAATAACAACTAGATCCCTCCTTAAAGTAAATCTCATAGCATTGCAGCATCCTATGGAAGGAGCAGCTCTCCATGGCCATTTTTAGTCTGAAGAAATAGGTTCTTTTTAAAACCAAACTATTGGGGGATGGCTGTGAAGAGGAATATTCTCTTCTCACAGGACCTTTGAAATGAGCCTGATTAGAGGTGGATGCTTGCATGGACAGCTCTGTGACGTGTGGAGAAGGGCCAGTACTCATGGAGATCCATCAAACACCTGGTGTTTCTATATCTCTGAATCCTGAGACAGACAGGACCAGCAGAGAGGATTCTTCCTATTCATTTATTTCAGTTCTCAGTGAGATGGAGTTTTTTGGTTTCTGTCCCAAGCCTGTTTGACCAAAGACTGCATATGCAGGGAGTGTGGACTTCAGATGGGGTGGAAGCACAGCAGCAGGCTCTGGGACAGCTGTGTGCTGCTGGAGAAAGGCTGCCAGACTGCCCAGTGCCCTCACCTGTGCTTCTGTGTTAGTTCACTTGGAAAAACCATTAAGCATTAACCACTGCCTGAGGAAAACTTGGCAGTGACTGTTGCACCATCATACTGGTTGGGTTCTCCTCATAACAGTGCCTTGCATCTCATGTCCTTCACTAAATCATGCCCTAAAAGTCCAACCTGGACAAAACAAACAAACAAATAAGGCCAAAATAAACACAAAAGCCTTTAATTAATGTTTTCACAGAGGCTTGAGGGCTTGTCTTACCTGTATGCATAGATCACTTTAAACTCACTACTCAGTCAGTTAATGAAAATATATCCTGCATATAATGAAAATATGCATTTTCTCTGGTATTACAAGGCCTTTAGCTCTCTTACCACTTTATCCCTTTATAGGAAAAGAAATAATTTAATGGATAAAATAAAGCCAGGAAATAAACATATAAAAAACTGTGATAACTAAACACAGAAGTGTAGAAATATCACAGTTAACAGTGATTTATCTGTTTGTTCCATACAGTTTTCAAAATGGAGATCAGGACCCTATTTATCACAGTTGACATATGTGAGCTTGTTCTTCTGTACCAGCAACCAACACGTAACATAAGGTATTTCAGAATGACTGCTTAATGAAGAACATGCACCGGATTTTCACAGCTCTTAACCTCCTACTATCAGATGTATTTCTGCTGTGCTACTTTTACTGTACTGCCTGTCTGCACAGGTACAAAGGTTCCCGTTTGTGCACCTATTCCTGTATAGGAAGGGAGTTAAACTCTGTATCTGAATTTGTTTATGCCCACTGCCTCTTGCCCTTTCACTGAGCACCCCAAAAAGAGCCTGGCTCCATCCTCTTTGCACCCTCCCTTCAGGTGTTCATACATACTGAGAAGTTCCCCCTGACCCTTCTCTTCTCGCAGTTGAGCTGTCCCAGCTGCCTCAGCCTCTCCTCAAATGACAGATGCTCCTGCCCTTTTTTGGCACCTCACTCTTGGCAGAGGATCACCTCCCTCAATCTGCTGGCAGCACTTTCCCTGATGCAGCCCAGGGTGCTCTTGAGTGTGAAAGTCCATCTGAGACTCATGTTCAACTTGGTGTCCACCAGGGCCCCAAACCTGCAAAATTCCCAAATTCCCATCCACCCAGGTGCCCCCTCAGCATGTACTGGTGCATGGATGCATGGTGTTGTTCCTGCTTAGGAGCACAACTTGGCATTTCCCTTTGCCCCTTTGCTGAACTTCATGAAGTTGGTTTTTTTTTGTTGGTTTTTTTGTTTGTTTTTTATCAGTAAAAGCAGGACCGGAGATCCTTGAGGTCCCTTCCAAGCTGTTATTCTCTGATTTTGAGGTAAGACCCTATCTCCTTGTTTTCCCGCCTGCTGACGTCCCCCTGAGTGGCAGCACACTCATCTGGTCTGTCAGCCACTCCTCCTGGCTTTGTGTTCTCTTCAAACCTGCTGTGGGTGTGCGGGGGTAGATTCTGACAGTACTTCCTAGGGTTTTTTTATACTTCATGTACTCTGTAAGTAATTTTGATGTGCCACTTTCACACATGCAAAGAAACTAATCTGACCTCTCTGAAACCTTGTCTTCTGACATGGCACTGATATAATAGAGGTGACCAGCAGGTTTTGAGTTGTCAGTTCAAGCTCAGAGGCATTTCTCTGCTCCTCACACACTGGACACACATCTAACCGTTAACGAGATATCTCAGACAGGTGAGAGATACCCTTCTAAAGGTTTTTGCTTCAGGTCATGCCTGCAGAAGTTTCTTGCCATCTCTGACTTGCTGAAAGCTAAATGTTTGCACATCACAGGCTCCCTGCTTTGTAATCTCAATACTGCAAACAACCCTTTTTTTTTTTTTTTTTTTTTTATTTTTTTTTTTTTTTTGTTTTTTTTAATTGAAGAAGGCTGGATCCCGCTTTGCCAGAGTCCCTGGCTGCGTCCCTGGCTGCCCGGATGGCCTTCCAGCAACCGGTGCAAAGTCCAAGGATTTGCCACAGCAGCATCTACGTTTTGCAAGCAGCAGAGTTGGTCGTCATCCCAGAACAGAGCAGAACTGTGTCTGCCTTTTCCAGAACAAGGGTTTGTGCCCTGTGCCGCCCGGTGCCCGGCTGGCAGGGCCGGTCAGAGAGGTCTCTGTTGGTAACTCGGAGCGCGGCCAGCGCGGCCATGCCGAGGCTGGGACAGGCGGAGCAGCTGCCGGGGCTGGGACCGGCGGCGAGGAGGCGAAATGGAGCTGGCTGTGCTCTTGGCAGCGCTCCTGGGACTCCTCATTGTCAAGGCTCTTTTGTTTCAGCGGAGAAACCCGAGCTCCCCTCCTTGCATCAGGAGCTGGATCCCTTGGTTTGGAGCTGCGTTTCAGTTCGGGAAAGCTCCTCTGGAGTACATAGAGCAAGCCAGAAAGAAGGTAATGCGTGTGCTGGCGTGCCTACTCGTGGGTGCGTGCTCAGGGTACCTGCCTACAACGGGAAAGGCAAATAGAAACTTCTGCGTTCAGTTTTGCCGTTTCCTGTCACCTTCTATAACATTTAAATGCTGAAGAATCGACTTAATACTACCAGCGCTGGTAAGTTGTGCATCTGATCCAGGCACGATCTCTGGTGCTGTGACCATACTGATTGGACTTCTGCCGTTTCGTTTTTGCAGCCTGGCTGTGTGTTAATCTTGGTTTCAGATAATGTGGAAAACCCTGTGCCAAGTGCTGGGACCAGGAAACTACTTATTTGCATGCCTAAATTTAAGTGAGATTTTTGAGCACCAGCTGGTGTCCCTCAACATTCAAGCAACACAGAAATGTGCTTGGCAGGCAAAGTTTTCTGTCCTAAAAAATCTTAACTAAACAGAGGGGTCAGGATTTACCCCCGGACTTGAATTTCTTTTTCTGTGTCTGTTGGATAGAAAGAGATCAAATTCTTAATTTCTAAATATTTAATAATAATTGACATAAACCCCAGTTTCCCACTTTCACTCAGGGATTGTATCACCTGCTACTACAATGTCATCAGCCTTGAGCGTTCCATGCTGAAGGATCACACAGCCCACTACTTGCAAAAACTAGCTAAAAATGAAACCACTGTAACATCCTGAAATTTGAAAAGAAATCCCACATCAATAAATACTGGATGTTTAAAATTTGCTTTCTCATTTTGAACTGCTAGATTTCATATTTGTATTTCTTTTTGTATTGTTATAAACTCATGGTGTTAAAGCAGAGGATTGAATCTGATCTTTGAGAACAAGAGCGGTCAGTCTTGTATTAAAGCACATTGGGTGCATCATGGGGTAAGCTCAGAGGTATGATCTGGAATTTCTTGGCTTCTCTGTGCTTGACAGGCCAGTTTTAATTTTATATTACATTATTATATTATTTTATATTACAGTTTTTATTTTATATTACTGTAGCTTTCATCTGTGCAAATGCACACTCATTGGCTCTGGGTTAATTAATTATGGTGCTCATTTGCCTGGAGGTCCTCTAGGCTCCAGGTTGATGCTGTGGCAGCTGCTGACACATCTGCACACACCAGAAACACATGAAGGACTTTATAAACCTCTGGTTTTGCTGGGACCAAAACTAGAACAAGAAACATTTTCAATGGGTGAAAACTCAAAGCAAAGAAGGAAGAGAAGGCTTTCTTGCATCTCTTCCTTTACTGTGTTTGCTGGAAGGACCTTTTCTTTGACGTTTAGTCCAGCAGCTCCTTGTGACCTCTCTCCGTGGTCCCCCTGGGCCAAGGGAGATGTCTCCATCCATCCCTGCCAGGTTGGCCATCTGCCCGCAGCACCATCACCTGACAGTCTCCCTGACTCTGAGGAAGGCCACTTGTTTGTTGTCTCCTTCCTCTCCTTAAACCCTCCTCAGGCATTGAAAGCTCCCTCCCTTCCCACCTCCCACACTGGTATGCTATGCTGAGGCCAGGAAAAATAAGTCTTTTCTTGCCTACTCCCTTTTAAAAGAGTAGGCACTGTTGCAGAGTACAGCCAAACAAAACACATGCTGCTGCCAAAGGGGTCATTAACAGGCACTACAGGGCTTGCAAAATACATCTGCAATAATTCCAGGCTCCCGGATACTGCCAGAACAGGGTTAAGTGTCCTTAGTATGAGCAAGCTGCCCTCGTAAAAGGTGTTGCAGAAATAGGCATTAGACAGTGTGAAACCTCTTCATCTCTGGAAGGTCATTATCTTCAGGGGAAGACTCATGTAATGAGAAAGTTCCTCCCCTCTATTAATCCTTCTGACTGACAAAAGTGACACTCATGTCTTTCTTAATTCCTTTCTTCCTTAATTCCTTTTGTGTGTATCATTCACTGTTTTTTCTCTCAAGTCCTGGGTAACACAGTAAAGTTCCACTGCTTCCAGCCTGCCCTTTGCTTGGAGTTTGCTGCTTCTATTTTCCTCCCACAGAAGAACACGTGGGCTGGAAGAATTGTCTCCTTTTCCCCTTGTGTCGTCACTGGGACTAAGAAAAGAAAGTTCCCCTGCTCTAATAAAATATTTAATTTCTTGTCTAATAAAAGATACCACCTCTTCCTCCTAAAGCTGCCTGGTGAGAGTTTTGCAGCAGTCTGGAATGGGCAGGGGGAATAACCAGAACTACCATGCAACATAAAATACAGGGTGAGCTGCTTAATGAGTGGTTCAAAGGACGTGGCTCGCCACTTTGCCTTGCAAACATGGTAAGAGTTAGTAAGGAATTTTAAATTCTTCTCACTAGTTTGCTAATTAGACAAACAGGAAAAATTCAGTGAAACTCGGGAGATTGTTCTGCACTGTTATAGGGATCTGTGGGATCCATACCTCCCTCTCAGAGAGAGTGTTGATTTGGGACAAGTTGCCGTGTTGCAGGACTCTCAGCCTTTCTGTGTGTGGGGAGGGATGGCTCACTGGGTTACACTGCAAGGGACATGTGGAGGGGAGCAGGCTGGAGAAGGCTTCTGGTGGAGCGTTTCCATAGGCAGTGTCCACAGCTAAGTCACTGAAGGTCTGTGACTGGTCTCAGATGTAGAAGACCAAAATGCTGCAGTCCCTGAGCTAGGGAGGGGACATGGCATTAACCCTTTGTGTGTGGACACCCAAGGGAGAGGAAACCCACAGAGTACTCCCAGCTCCCAGCTCCCAGCAGGGCTTGTGGTGCAATGCAGCTGCCTCAGCTGAGAGTGGTTGCTCCCTGTCAGTGCCCCTGGGGAATGTGACTATTTCCCTGATTTCCTTTGGGGTTTTGGAGAACATCCTTCTGAAGTTTTTATTTCTCTGGAGTGTTACTTTCCATAGGCTTGAATCTGTCTCTCACTGAAGTGTTTCCCAATCTTTGGAAAAATATTAGCTTTAATGAGTGAAAGCAGTAAATCCTAAGAGGATTTTTATTTTGCTTTCTATATCTCTCTATGTTGTGAGGTTTCCTTAAAAGCTGTTCCAGAGCAGTAACCTGAGTGCAGTGCTGGCAGCAGAGTCTGCACTCCGTTGGTACCTTTCCATAACACAAGTGCAGAACTGCCCCACAGCTCATTCCAGGAGCTGATTTTATTGCAGTGTAACATGAATGTAATTACACATTTTGACAGATGAACAGTCTGGTTATTCAGGTGTCTGTCTGGGACAGCAGCCATTAAGAGATGCTCAGTAACAGTGTGTAAGGAGCACACCCAGGTCAGAGTATGCAGCCTCCTGCTTTTTCTTCTCAGCTACTGGTTTAGGGATTTGCTAGGCTGGAATTTACATCCAGATGATTTGACCTAATCTCTTTTGTTGCTCTGTGTATAATTTTGGCTCCCAGCAATGCACAGCTGTGAATCCATAATTTAATCATGATCCATATGAATAAAGTATTCTGTCTGGTTTTAAACCATCTAACTCCTAATCTCAAGCCCATTAGCTTTTACATTATGAGAAACTGAGAATAATTATTATCTTTTCCTCTTTTCCTGGGATCTAAGTCTACTTAATCTCCTTTTATTGAAATATTCATGCATGTTGTGCATCCCTTTGGCTTTGACTAGCTCAGAATATCCTGCTAAGATGGAATGGGCAGAAACACAAATTAAATTGAAGATGCAGGCACAGGATGGGTTTAGATGTTTGTTGTCCTTTTCCCTCTCCTTTTCTGGCAAGGTAAGAGTTCCAGATTAATTATAGAATTATTTAGGTTGGAAGGAACCTTAAAGATCATCTAATTCCAACCCATCTGCCATGACAGGGACATCTTCCACTATCCCAGGTTGCTCAGAGCCCCATCCAACTGCTGTTAATCAATTCCAGGGATGGGGCATCCATACCTTCTGTGGGCAAGCTGTGCCAGGGCCTCACCATCCTCACAGTAGAGAATTTCTCCCTAATATCTAATGCAAACCTACTTGTTTTCAGTTTAAAGCCATTTATTAGCACTTGCATAATAGATTTTGGAGTCATTTCAGAGTGTCATTATTCTAAGCCTTCCTATGTGACATTTCTAGGTCTTCTTATTGTTTAGACTCTCAAATGACTCCAGATCATGAATAAACTCTTAGTTCTTCTTCCAAAGAATGAATTAAAATCTTCTAAACCCACACAACCTTATGTCTCCCTAAAAGCTGTACAGGCCTCTTCTTCAGTACGTCCTATTTATCCACTACTAATCCCAATCTTTAATAATGCTTACTGTAATTTTTTGAGTACTAAAATGACTCTTTGAGGCTTCCCAAGTCCTTCTGGCACCATGTTTGCCTGTCCATCCTCCTGTTGCTGAGGTAACAGATCACAGTAGGGAGTTCTGCAACTTCTTATTTTAATTCCTCAAGAGTTCTGAATTGAAATATTTATCACTGTTTTACCTAGAACTTGTTTAAGTCCATTCTGCTCAATAATTCCTTCAGAACAAGATCTCAGTCCATCCTTTTCAGTGAAAGGCTCCAGGGTGGGACTTGTCTTACACTGATACAATCCCTAGCTCAGATTCCTTCCTCAGTTGGTTTCCTTTCACCCTGAGTATTTATCAGGCTCAGCAGCACACTGGGAGACTTCCTGCATCTGGCATGCTTGGAAAAGTCTTTATTGTTAGGGAGGCAGATTGACTTAATTGGTTTGATTCTCAAACCTTTTTTAGTAATTTAATTTTGCATTGCATTTATCAAATGTCATATTTATTTGGACACAAAGTTCTGCTTTCTGAAAGATTTGTGTTTAAATATCACAGTGTTGCTCTGTGAGGCTGACTTATTCTGGAGAAGAAGCTTTCTTATTTCAGTTTTGTTAAATATTGGTCTAATTTTAATGATTCTAAATAGATAGCAGGAAGTTGGATGAGATTCAAACCCAGATTGTTTGTTGGGTGTTTACAAGTTACCAAGATGGTCACTGGACATGTAGTCAGTGATGTCAGTGGAGTCCAAGGGCAGTTCAGCTCCTTCCAAAAACAGGTGTGCAGGAGATGGTCTGGTGAATTGGTTTTTAGGATCCCCTTACTGCCCAGACTTGATTTCTGTTGTCTATTATGGGAGCTCAGACATCTTGCTCACATATAATCACCTAAAATAAAGTGTTCAATCTTTAATTGAGTGTGACCTTAATTGAATAATTAAGTGTTATTGCAGGTTAGTTAAAATTAATTAACTATTTATATTAGTTAAAATTTTATTTTATTTTAAAATTATTTTAAGTACCTTTTAATGTTAATTTAAATTTTAAAAATCTAATTTTTAAGCATGGTACAAATTCACTGATTTTTATCCAGAATGATGATGAGCACATGGACATCAAAAAGCAGTTGTAGAAATTTAGCTATTATAGAGTCATAGCATCACAGATTGGTTTCTGTTGGAAGGGACCTTAAAACTCGTCCCACCTCCTGCCATGGGCAGGGACAAATTGTAGTGGACAGGTGCTCAAAGCCTTGTTCAACCTGGCCTTGAACACTTGTTATTAAAACAATATTTAATTTATTATCACCCAGGGAGTTTGAACTGTCAGTCTTTCTTTAATAATTTGCAGTTGAAGGACACAATCAAAATTCAACTGATGCCAGGAGGAATATTTTCCTTGGCTTTAAAGAGCTTTTGATGAAAGAGGATTTACACTACAGACATTGACAGCAAAATAAATGGTTAAAATCAATGGCATAAACAATGTGAGCAAGGTAGAATGATCTTTTTATGCCTACATATGACAGACAATAGATGTTGCGCATTTGTTTTCTAGTTTAAACTATTTACAAATATCAGGGATCATTTTAACAATGTAAGAACTCAGAATTGAATGCCTATTGCTGAAAGTTTCAAGAGGGCTCTAGGATATTAGATTAAGGGAAGATGAAAGAATTATTTATGGCATCAAAAACATTTCCTGAATGTCAGTCAATCTGTTCTGCTCAAAGCTTGTTAGCTATTTTAATCTCTACAGGTAAGAAATCATTGGGATTAGGAGAAAGGAAAGAGGAAAGAGAAGAGAAAAGGAAAGGAAGGGAAAGGAAAGGAAAGGAAAGGAAAGGAAAGGAAAGGAAAGGAAAGGAAAGGAAAGGAAAGGAAAGGAAAGGAAA